GGAAGGAGAGCCTCATGGAGCGGTCGGGGTCCTCGTCGTCCTCCCCCTCCAGCCGCTTCTCCGACGGCAGCTCGTTGGCCAGCTGGTCCGCCTCGCTGCGCCGCCGGGCGTCCTCCCACTCCTCGGAGAGCCGCTCCTCCTGCTCCTGCTCCTGCTCCTGCTCCTGCTCCTGCAGCTCCCTGCTCTGCCCGCCCCGGAGGCCGCCAGGGGCCCCTGCCATCTCCTCCTGCCGGGACCGCTCCCGCTCCCCCTTCCCCTTGGGGGACTGAACTTCCTCAGCCTCAGTCTTCCCGGCTCCATCGACAGCCAGAGCCTTGGACCAACCTGGAGCAGGCGGTGGACAAGAGCAGGAGACGAGGGAGGGGTCACCACCTTCCCCAGTCCCTCCCCGCCTCTCCCCGGGGGCCCCTCTGTGGCCACCGCTGAACCACAAGCCCACACTCGGGTCCAGGTCATGACCCTGCTCGGAGGGAAAGAGCCATCTTAACACCATGCTTTGTAAGCCCCTCTCCGAGCCCGGAGGGGTGGGCTGGAGCCCGCCTCTTCCTGTAGCCCTCTCGTGGTAGAAGCCCTCGACCCAGGGGTCACCGAGCAGGGCAGGGACGGGAGACTTGACAAGGCCCACAGGAGGAGCCGGGGTCTCCCTAAATCCTGGTCGAAGCTGACGACTGTGCCCAGAGAAGCCTGCTCCCACCCGCCGTACGGTCCCTCTGTCCCCAAAGCCTGCCCACCCAGCCCACAGAGGCCCTCTAGCCTCTGGGTTGGGGGAAGGATCTATGCAGAATAGCGGACGTGCATGGTTTTGGAGCCACACAGACCTGGGTTAGAATCTCAGATTTTACTACAAATTAGCTGTGTGTTGGGCAAATTACTTAACCTCTCTGAGCCTTGGTTTCCCATCCAGCAAAATGGAGATAATACCTCCTTTCAGGGTGGTTGTGGAGGTGGCATGAGGTCATGGATGAGGTGCCCCTCGCACGCACCCCCCCTCTCCCGCACATTTGCCGAGGCCTCAGACATCATACGTACTCTCGCCTCTCGGGGCCTCCTCGTAGCCGAGGCTGGGGTGGGGGTTCAATGCTTCGGAGGGGCCTTCTTCAGAGACGGCCTTCTCTCCAGCCTCCGCACCGGCGTCGTCCTCTCTCCCTGCCTGCTGTCCTTGCTCTGCACCCTGGCCCTCCTCTCTGTCCGCCAGACCCTGGGAGGGGTCCCCGCTGTCCCCCTCAGCCGGAGGGCCTGGGTGTTTCTGGCCAGGGAGGGTGGCCGGGGGATGGGTGTTGGTGATCTCTTCCTCCCCTGGGGCCTGGTCGGCCTCATCCTTGGACCCCTGCCCGGGTTCTGGGGAGGCCCAGGGCCCGTCTTGATCTGTGTCTTGACCACTCTTCACCTCATTGGAATCCCCCCTTTTCTCCGCAGAGTCCTTGGCGAGCATCTCTTCTGTCCCCTCTGCAGAAAGAACAGAAGCAAAGTGAGGCCCTGAGCACCAGGCTGCACTCCAGGTCTCCCCAGACCCAATTTCAGATCTTAGTCATTGTATCTTGGTGATTCCAACAAGCCCAGCCCAGGACACCCGTGACGGAACTGGGGTTACCCTCTCCGTGTCTGGATTTGACCTGAGCACAAAAGGATTGCATTCCTTTGTAATTCTACCTCTTAAAGATATGATTAAAAAAAAAAAAGACTTTCAAGATGACCCCAGAAAATAGAGCCTGAATTAAGAATTAGGACATCAGCTGAATTACTGTGTGGTCTTGGGGAAGTTCCTTAACCTTTCTGTGGGGCTTCTCTGTTTTGAGCATCCTGTGAAAGTGCTCAATTCCTCAATATTTGCAGTTTTCATTAAAAAGCGTTGTCTTGTTTCTGCTTTGAAGACAGCCTGTTAACTATTGTAAAAGTCTCTCCCATCACCAGAATGGTTACTGTCGCACAAGCACCAGCTAGTCCATCCCACCATCTGACTCCAGGGCTCCAGGTGAAAGTGCTCCCATCCATTTACAGAAACTCAAACTGATCCTCAGAAAGCTGGTCTGCAAGCAGCAGAGCTGAGCCTTGACTCCAGCTTCCAAATGCCGAGTACAGGGCACTCTTTGCGCTGACACACACGGCTGCTTCCCTTATTGAAGCCTCGACACACACACACACACACACACACACACACACACACACACACACACCCCAGGCTATTCCCCCTCCTGAAACCCATGGCAGACACCCATAGTCCTCCAGACCCTCATTCCCATGGCGCCAGCATGTGGGAGTCCATGCCATGCTCCAAGCAGCCACTAGGGAGACAGCCCTGGCCAATGGCCAATGTGAGGTCACCTGGGCCACACTAGCAGGCTTCCCGAGGGAAGGTCCTTGAAAACCCGGCTCCTGGAAACTCGCCTCATTCATCCACCTTCCACATGCAAACAGCAGGCCTGCTGGGGCAGTTTGTGGGTGTTTGCAGGTAGGAGGGTGAGTCACAGAGAATCACTTTGACCTACACCATGATCTCTTTGACCCCTAACAGCTCTCTGGTCTCAAGAAAGATGATCCAGCCCTGGCCAGGTGGCTCAGTTGGTTGGAGTGTCATCCTGTTCGGGGTGGGTATGGGAGGAAACCGATGATGTGATCTATGTTTCTCTCTCGCATCAATGTTTCTCTCTCTGTCTCTCTAAAAAAAATAAATCAATGAAAAACATATTTTCCCGGCGAAGATTTAAAAAAAGAGAGCCCTGGCTGGTGTGGCTCAGTGGTTAGAGTGTTGGCCCGCACACCCAAGGGTCACGGGTTCAATTCCCGGTGAAGGGCACGTACATGGGTTGCAGGTTCGCTCCCCATGCGGGAGATAACCAGTTGATGTGTGTCTCTCAATGTTTCTCTCTCTCCCCCTCCCTCCCTCCTTTCCACTCTCTGAAAAGCAACTGAAAGAAAACCTTCAGGTGAGGATTAACACAGAATATTTAAAAAAAGAGAGAGAGATGATCCAGGTTAATTTAGTGTTTCAAACCTACTTCTCCTGGATCATCCTGCAACTTGGCTATGCTAAGGCGCCACCTAATCCCGGGACGGCAGGTGCTCAGGCAGGGGCCCTGCTGCAGTGGCCACTGGGAAAAGCCCGAGTCAAAGCTGCTCACCTGCCAGGCCGGCCACTCCTGCTCTGGAGTGTCAGCCCCTGGTGGGCAGATGGGACCCATGGAGGGCTTTGGAGGGAGGCAGGCCCAGGTTCACATCTTCAGTTATGTCTTGGACAAAGTACTTAACCTCTCTGGCCTCATTTGTAGATGGAAAGAAATAGTAGCTACCTTACAGGGCGTAGAGGAGGGGCTCAGCCTCCGGGAACCCTCGGGCTGTCATGACTACCGTTACCGTCGACCCCCCCCCCCC